GCATTTAGTCGTTGACGCGGTCACGGGGCGCGTCCTTCGTCTCATATGCCTCTCGGCTGGGAATACTGTTGTGAAAGACCGAAAGGATCACGTGATCTCACATTCAGTTTTACCCGGGGAGTCCCCCCCAAAACCATCGGCACGTCAAGCAACCCCTGCTATCCCTCATGCTCGACTACGCTATTTGCACCTGTATGTTCCTCAAACGTATCCCTGTCTTCGTAGAGTGCCTCTGCACCGATGTGCATTGACCTACTGTAAACGCCGACGGTCGCGACAGCAGGCTATGCTGAGAAATCCATGCTTTAAGTAGAGCTAGCTCTACAAAGATAACACTTCATACACACAAAACATATCCTTATGCGCTTCCCCAAGTATACTTCACCAAGATAGGGTCGTGATCGGAATCTGAGATGGACACTTTAGCTGCTCACGAATACCAACAACACACAATCCAAGCCCTAGGTGCACGCAGATCACTTGGGACAAAAGTGAATAAATTTTGAGTGTTTCTCACATCACAATGTTCTAAGCATCCGCTGACTGGTATGCTTCGCACTCACTTAGCGCCCGCCCGTAGTCTCCTTGCTGCAGAGCAGTGTGATTTGCTAATGCATTATGGGAGTGGTACGGCCATGTCAGGCGTCTCTGCACTGCTGCAGTGCTGCGATGCAAGCTGGGGGCCGCACCGGCAAAGCGGCGCAAGGCTGCTGCTTACTGCCTGACTTCACGTACTGTGGTGATGCCTAACGTGGTGGGTGAGCTGCACTAGCGCAGGCAACTGACTTGATGGCACAAACCAATTTGACAATTGACACTGACCTAGTGCCCCTGGCTCTCTGTGAAGCCGTTCCGTGCATGGGTGGCCACCTGGTGAATGGTTTTTCCGTGGACGGGAGCAGCGAATAGCGATGAGCATCGAAGAACTGGATGCTTCCAAAGGTGATGATGAATTGGCAACCTATTGGGATCACTTCCTCTGCTGCTGTGGGTTGTAACTGACAAGCGCGCTTCTACCGCCAACGCCAACCAAGTCGAAGAATTGAGTGGGCAGGAGCTTCTAGTGTACCAACAATTCGCTCTTTGTACATCCTCCGTCAGCTCCTAGCGTGCAGGCATCAGGGTGTCCACTTTCAGCGCTGCTTTGTGTTATTTGTTGGGCGACACCAAAAAATATACCGTCTCTCAGTTCGCCTGTCCATTGCGTAAAGAAGGAAGCGTCATCAACCTCTGTCGCCTTCGTTTCCTCATCAGGAGAACCTTGTACGCGCTTGTCCACAGTCTCGGGCTCCAACCCTATTCAAAGTGAGTTTCGCTGTGACGTCTCGCATTGGGTCACGCATGAGCTCACCCAATCGATGTACGGTCATTCGTGCTATTGCAGAACGCTTTCGATGCATCGATGGCTCTGCCATCCATTTTGGCGATCAACTGACGACTATACCACCAGGCTCCGTATCATCCTCGTGTGCTCAGTCCCCTTGTCGCTTCGATGATCATATTGCAGGCTCAAATCCTCAACTGCTTCCACCTCTTTGCTTCAGTATCCTAGACGACCTTTCTTCGACAGGTTCTTTGCTTTCCGCTGAGGCCGCATCCTGCTGTCACGCAGGCAAACAAAGTTTCCAGCGTCTTGTCACTGCTGGGTCTGATTTTCACTTTGCGAGGGGAAAGCTAGACGCTATCAGCCGGTCTGATCGCTCCGGTCTCTGCTCGGTGCAAGCTCAACATCGAGACAAATCTCTGGACCGAGCCTTGACGACGACCCGCCACGCACATGATCAGAGCAACCATGGCAGCTGCTCCCACCATCTCTGGCACCGGAAAAGGGAAGCCAACAATGGCTGACTTAACTGATGCTGTCGACACCAATATTGGTCTAGATGAAAGCATGATGGCCTCTGTGCTGTCAGCACAACCAGATGAAGTAAGGATTGACTTTAACAAAGGCGACAGCAACAGCCGGGTTCCCTCGGGCTTGCCTGGTCCAGGGGATGAGCACGGATTAGAGGTTGACAGCATAGCCCACACGCTTGCTAGTGCCAAGCTTGCAACGCCAACGGAGTCTCTCAGCTCCGCTTCAGGCCTTGCGGGCGAACCAGGGACAACATCGCCGGAGGGGCAACGGGTTCAGGAGACTCTCGCACATCGATCATCGTCATCAGCCCCAACAGACGCTGCTACAGGAGCTCGCCATCACCACCTGTACATCGGCAATTTGTCGCCCAAAGTGTCCGAGGAGCACCTTCGCAGCGTGTTTAGTGAATTCGTGCCCGTGGTGAACGTCAAAATTTTGATTCATCACCACCCTCAGTATCTGCCTCATCATGGCATGTATGCTCCATACGGGCCAGCCGGACTTTTGGCTCCACAAATGGTTCCAGGCGCCAGCAACTACGGCTTTGTTGAAGTGGAAGATTCGCAAGGTGCCGAGAAGGCGGTCCAGCACCTCAATGGCAGATCGATGTTCGATATGCCCATCAAGGTCAGCTGGGCCAAACAGCAGCGGGGTCCCACGAGTTCTGCGCAAGGCAGTAATACTGGACCTTCTAGGGCTCGTGATACGGAGGCAGGCGCATCCCAGCAGGATGACACTATCACTTCTGCTGGCGCACCGGGTTCGTTCACCGCAGGTCTCCACCACGTCTTTGTCGGAGACCTTTCCGCTGAAGTCAACGATGCTCGTCTCCGCGAACACTTTGTCAGCGCCCTTCCTTCGCTCCACGAAGCACGGGTCATGTGGGACATGCACAGCGGAAAATCGAGAGGCTATGGATTCTTGGCATTCAAGACGCGGGAGGATGCTGAGGAGGCGATTCGGACGAAGAATGGAGACTGGCTCGGTGGAAGGGCTATTAGAGTAAATTGGGCGAACCAAAAGGGCGGTGCGAATGCCCAAGCTGCTGCTGCAGGATTCACACTATCCATGTCCTCGGCCATGTCAGCTACGAACGCCACGGTCAATGCCATCGCTGAAGCTGGCGCCGGGCAGGGTGCAGCGTCTCGAACGCAGTCGAAGATAGGGTGGGGTTCTGCTGCCAGGAACAACAGACAGCACTCGGTGCAGCAGCAGGTGGCTATGCAAGTGGGTCTAGCACGTGGACCGATGAACAGTTACAACACACCAGTTTATGCGTTCGGGCAGACGCCACCCGTTGCTACTGGTCCGCCTCGTCCTGCATCAGTGCCTGTATCAGTTCCTGCTCAGATGGCTGGTAGTTCTGGTACGCGGAAAGCGTCTTTCACATCCAACGCCCCGTCGTCAACCCACTCGCAGGCTCCACATGGCACCTCCCCGTCGCTCTCATCTACGCACACGCATGATGTCAACCTGCTCGCGTCGCCACAGCCTCCGCTCACGTTCGAGGCTGTGCTCAGCCAGACGCCTCCGTACAATACGACGGTCTACATTGGTAATATGCCGCCACAGACGACGCAGCAGGAGATCACGTCCCTGTTCCAGAACCTTGGCATCATCATCGAAGTGCGTATGCAGTCGGACCGCGGCTACGGGTTCGTCAAGCTCGACACCCACGAGAACGCGGCGCAGGCGATCGTGCAGCTCAATGGCACCGAGTTTGGAGGCAGGCAGGTCAAGTGCGCTTGGGGCAAGGACCGACAGGAAAGCTTGACTGCAATGAGCATCAGACCTCCTGGAGCAACGCATCTGCACCCGAACGGGACTGGGCATCCAGCTGCTGCGGCTGGGATCCAGATCCCGCCAGGAAGCATGGGTATGGTGAGCATTCTTTCTCAGATTCGAGTCCTCGAATCGTGTAACCACAGGCTGACTTTCATTTCTCGTAAAGATGTACGGCGTCATGCCACAGTTCGGCTTCGGAGGCGGTTTCGCCTACCCGGGTATGATGCCGATGGCTGCACAAGTCGGCTTTGGACACCATGGCGGACTGGGCCCTCACATTCCCAACATGGCGGCTGCCGCACAATTGCAACGGCAGATGGCTGCCATGCAAGCCCAGGCCGAGGCACAAGCTCGAGCCGCCGCACATGCTCAACATCACCACCACCAGCAGGCTCCTCAGCCGCCCTACGCCCCGCTGAGCGCATCTCCCGCCGCCTCATCCATGCAAGCTCACGGACCCGAGACAACGACGCTCCGTCAAGTACCGCAGCATCCGCCCACTGGCGGCGAATCTGCAGGCTTAGCAGCCTCGAGCAGCACGCAAGGTACGCCAGCGTTCTCCGGCCCGCATTCTTGGCAACTCGCTTGGCAGCAGAGCTGATGCGTCTTCCGCTCTTCTCTTCGATCGAAATTCTGTTTTCCTTGGTAATGCTGCAGACTTGAGCCTCACGGACCCTCTACAATTCTATCCTGGGCCGTACTCTTCCTACAGAGCCAGCTATGACTCCCTCAACGACTTGAGACAATGAACAATTCTCGAACTTCGCCGACGACAGGCCGACAGAATGGTGTATCTGACTTCGGCGAGAAACTCCCCAGCGATCGCCCCTGCTCCTATTATCTCACCTCCTGCGACAAAGCCAACTCTACTTTCGACTGCATTTTTCTTTCATTTTCACCTTCAGCTTTCGCAACGCACGCCCGATGAGGTCTTCTCATCACGATATACGCAGCAAATCGAATCTCGTCCATCGCATCAACTCTAATTGGGGTTTCCGTCTCAATCACCTCACGGGGTTTTCGCCTCGCGGGTATCAGCAACTGCAAGCATCAGGTATACCATTCCACGTGTATGATACGCGTATTGGTCCTTCGCATCATCATCATCACCACCCTCACCATCAACAATAACAATCTCAATTGTGCACCTCGATCGAGGACTAAATCGCATTTCTTTCCATCACATTTTCATTTCATCGCATTCAAATCCTTTTGCCGCCTGGCGACCGCCAGCTTCATCATCAACATCCTCATCGCAGTTTCCGTTGCAGCAACTTCCACAACCTACATTGTGCGCAGATCACGGGCCCGGCCCAAAAATGTGTACGTCATAGTTAATTGACTAAGTAATCAATCGTGACGGCAAATACAATGCAGTTTCCCTTCTCGCTTCATGTATTGCCCCTTTGACAGGCCTCATACATGTCAAGTGGACAGACTGAAAGCAGGCAGAGCGTGGTGTGTCGTTTAATGTTCCATGCCTTGTCATCCTCTCCTTACCAAGTAGAGGCCGGCACACTTGTTGCAGTTACTCGTGTTGGCGCAGATAAGCCAATCCTGAATCCATGTTGAGACTGCGCTGTCTCCATCCAGATTCCAGCCGTACATACACATCACGTACAGCTCAGCTCAACGCTCGCCTTGCCCCAGAAGCCTGTATTGTGTGACGTGTGAGTGGGGAGAGGGGGAGAAATGACTGAGAGCGAAAGAGATGAGTGAAAAAAATACGTATGAACGTACCGACTGATGGTGGTGGGTGGTGGGGG